CAGATTTTAATTAAACAAAAGGTTTATCTCGCTCTAACATAACGTGATCCATCATAACGTGACCTCTTCTCCCACTTTCTCTTCTACAAAAACACACATGCACCTGTTTTTCACGCTCACACATTAGTGGAAATTGCTGTAGTTCCATATTCAGCAGCAGCCGCTTTGAGAGAGAATATTAAAGTTTGTGAAAAGGCACTTGTGTGTGATAGATGTGTGCGTCTGCTCTACTGGCCTGGTTCTCTTCTGGGCCAAACACGTTGACCCAGTTCTGAATCAGGTGCACAATAGGGACTGATTTTAAAACACCTGTCCTTTGGGGATTGGCGATAAAAGCACGCTCTAGATTGTGTTGTTTCGACGGCAGATTGTAACGTGTAGTAATCAGTGTATGGCTCAAAAATCAATCAATCAATTGTCTTTATAGAGCCTTTTTTAACACTCAAGGCAACAAAAGAGCTTTACAATAAAATGACATAGAATCCATTACAACATTTATGCATTAAAACAATAAAACAGTCAAAAAGCATTAAAAAAGTGTCACCTCAAAATCAGTGAGGACATGTCAGGGGGCACCTTGTTCCAGGGTCTGGGTCCAGAACTGAGTAGGACCGGTCTCCCCAGTGTTTAGACCTAGTCCTTGGTTCTTCCAGGAGGAGCTGAGATGAGGACCTCAATGATCTGAGCCATGAAAAGACAAAAGTTTGGACAAGTCAAGAGGGCGAGACCATTGAGGGCTTTTAAAACAAAGAATAACATTTTAAAATCAACTCGAAACTAAACTGGAGCCAATGTAGGGAATAGGGGACTGGGGTGATGTGTTCATGTCTGGGTGTGTTTGTTAAGCAGCGAGTTGCAGAATTTTGCACCAACTGAAGACGATTAAAACAAGACTGGGGGACTCCAAAATAAAATGTCCAAAATGACGTGCTTTGACAGGCTGCAATACCACCCCGGGCCTGTGGGGGCGGACACAGGATAAGAATTAGCCAATGCTAATGTATGGCATCTTCATAACTTTCAAAAAAGGCTCCAAAAGTGGTTCTTGGTCCAAAAGTGGTTCTTGGTCCAAAAGGGGCTCTTGGTCCAAAAGTGGTTCATGGTCCAAAAGTGGCTCTTGGTCCAAAAGTGGTTCTTGGTCCAAAAGTGGTTCTTGGTCCAAAAGTGGTTTATGGTCCAAAAGCGGTTCTTGGTCCAAAAGTGGCTCTTGGTCCAAAAGTGGTTCTTGGTCCAAAAGTGGTTCTTGGTCCAAAAGTGGTTCTTGGTCCAAAAGTGGTTCATGGTCCAAAAGTGGCTCTTGGTCCAAAAGTGGTTCTTGGTCCAAAAGTGGTTTATGGTCCAAAAGCGGTTCTTGGTCCAAAAGTGGTTCTTGGTCCAAAAGTGGTTCTTGGTCCAAAAGTGGTTCTTGGTCCAAAAGTGGTTCATGGTCCAAAAGTGGCTCTTGGTCCAAAAGTGGTTCTTGGTCCAAAAGTGGATCTTGATCCAAAAGTTGTTCATGGTCCAAAAGTGGTTCTTGGTCCAAAAGTGGTTCTTGGTCCAAAAGTGGTTCTTGGTCCAAAAGTGGTTCTTGGTCCAAAAGTGGTTCATGGTCCAAAAGTGGTTCTTGGTCCAAAATTCGTTCATGGTCCAAAAGTGGTTCTTGGTCCAAAAGTGGTTCTTGGTCCAAAAGTCGTTCATGGTCCAAAAGTGGTTCTTGGTCCAAAAGTGGTTCTTGGTCCAAAAGTGGTTCTTGGTCCAAAAGTGGTTCTTGGTCCAAAAGTCGTTCATGGTCCAAAAGTGGTTCTTGGTCCAAAAGTGGTTCTTGGTCCAAAAGTGGTTCTTGGTCCAAAAGTTGTTCATGGTCTAAAAGTGGTCCTTGGTCCAAAAGTCGTTCATGGTCCAAAAGTGGTTCTTGGTCTAAAAGTGGTTCTTGGTCCAAAAGTGGTTCATGGTCCAAAAGTGGTTCTTGGTCCAAAAGTGGTTCTTGGTCCAAAAGTCGTTCATGGTCCAAAAGTGGTTCTTGGTCCAAAAGTGGTTCATGGTCCAAAAGTGGTTCTTGGTCCAAAAGTGGTTCTTGGTCCAAAAGTGGTTCTTGGTCCAAAAGTCGTTCATGGTCCAAAAGTGGTTCATGGTCCAAAAGTGGTTCTTGGTCCAAAAGTGGTACTTGCTCCTCTTCGTTCCAGATGCTGTGGATGTTGTGGGGAGTGTATGTTTTTGGACCAGTCTTGTTTAGTTGCTGTGGACTTTTAAATGCACTCGTTAAATTAATGGGGCTAATGCATGTTTTTGCGTTCTTTCACATTTTCCAGCGGCCATTTTGAAACTGCCCATAGACGGGAAAGGTGATGTCACATTAGTTTGAACGGCGGAGACAGACTATGTTTGTTAATATTTACAGTCTGAGGTAGAAACAGGAAAGAGAGAGCCATGAACTCATTGAAAGTGGAGAGTTGCGACTTGTTTTTAAAAAATGTGCTTCATTGTTTGTGCTGTAAATGGAAAAACATCTGAAGTCTGACCTTGGTCTGTAAAATGCACTATATAAATAAACAATACTTACTTTCTTTTGTACTAAAGATATTATTCCACAAGTATATAGTCCTGTTTTTTTCAGATTTTTTTTTTCAGATTTAATCAGAAAAATCCTCTGTTTGTGGGGAGTCGTGGCCAAGATGCAGCAAAGTTAACCATAAACACGACAGATACGATGACACTAAAGTGTTATGTACAGACGAACAGTTACAGGAGATTGAGGCCGTCTCAAAAACTCTGAGATTTAATGAATGATAAATGGCCCAAAAATACACATCCCTCTGTGATTATATGTGTTTTGGGGATTGTTAACATCCTGCTGATCCCCCATTGGTCCACAGTGAGAGCACATGTGACTGGTCCGTGTTCCTGGTGTAGCGTGATGAACGAGTCACTTCTGTCTGTGCAGAAAGCAGCAGGTCTCATTTGCACCTGGTTCAAAGTTGGATAAACTCTGCAGAGACGGATTTGTCCTTGGGAGTTTACATATTCATCACTGAGGAAAAGCATGACTCCCCGATCATCAAGAAGATTATGCAGCGCCCCGAGACCTGTGCTTTTCAACACGCACCAGTCCGTACCATCAACCTCCATCACGGAACATGTAGAGAGGGCGCCACAGAAGGTTATAGGCTCAAAAGATTTGATCTAATACACACTACAAGTATGATCATTACAACAATTCACATGTATGTGACTGTTACAGACACACATGTGTCATGTGACTCTTATACACACATGTGTGTCATGTGACTGTTACAGACACACATGTGTCATGTGACTCTTATACACACATGTGTGTCATGTGACTGTTACAGACACACATGTGTCATGTGACTGTTATAGACACATGTGTGTCATGTGACTGTTACAGACACACATGTGTCATGTGACTCTTATACACACATGTGTGTCATGTGACTGTTACAGACACACATGTGTCATGTGACTGTTATAGACACATGTGTCATGTGACTGTTATAGACACACATGTGTCATGTGACTGTTATAGACACACGTGTGTCATGTGACTGTTATAGACACATGTGTCATGTGACTGTTATAGACACACGTGTGTCATGTGACTATCATAGACACATACATGTGTCATGTGACTTATACACACACATGTGTCATGTGACTATCATAGACACATACATGTGTCATGTGACTTATACACACACATGTGTCATGTGACTGTTATAGACACACGTGTGTCATGTGACTATCATAGACACATACATGTGTCATGTGAATTATACACACACACATGTGACTGTTATAGACACACACATGTGTCATGTGACTGTTATAGACATACATGTGTCATGTGACTATCATAGACACATACATGTGTCATGTGAATTATACACACACACATGTGACTGTTATAGACACACACATGTGTGTCATGTGACACATACATGTGTCATGTGACGGTCTTCTAAGGACACGTCTCGTTCCGTGTCTCTAAATGAAAGTCCGTTGCACTTCCTTAAAGCTGAGTTTGTCTGACGATCACCTTTCACCTTTCCCTGATTACATATTTTTACTTCTGGTGCGTGGGAACCTTCTGGACTTGCCGCTCTTGTAATTATGTAAATGAAATTAATGACGCGAGGTGCCAACACGCCATTAGCTGCTAGCATGAACACGTGCACAGTTATTAACACATGCACAGTTATTAGGAGGTGTCAGGAGGATCCCTCACAGGTCAGTGCTCTCGTGTTCACGCCTCTCTCTCCGTTTACGTTCGTTAGCAAACATCAACACCGAGCAAAGTTCATGCATTTTTTGTTTTCTTATGTCCAAAGGGATAAAACTCAGAAGAAGCATCATTAGGAGAAGCATTAAAGCTGGGGTACATAACCTTCAATCGCCAACAATGGAACTCTGCAATGAAAGCCATAGAAAAGAGACCCACCCAGATCACACTAGTCTGGTCTTACCACACCATAGTACTCATTTTATGCTCCATTTATTCCAGGTGGGAGGGGTTACAAACTCCACACAGAGAGGCCTGGAGGTGGAACAGAACCCAGGACCTCCTTGCCCACTTGTCTATGTCAATGTCAGCTTAACTGTATAGCACATTTACAACAAAACCAGCTTCCCAAGTGCTGCAGATAGACAAAGATAAAAAGCAAACAACATAAAATACCTTCGCCACAGACGCACACATGACGACACACAGTTGTAGTGATGTTCTTCGGTCACCGTAGAACCACACTCCGGCCTTCCCCTTCGGCCCTATCTGTCTCTCTCCCTCCTGGCACTTTGACTGATGCTTTCTGATATCTTTCCCTTCACGATTAATGACACAGAAGCCGGAGGCCGTTGGAGTCGGAGCTCTCTCTTTCTCAAACACTTGGCGGTGAAATAAACCCACACGGCGCGCAGCCAAAACCCCCATTCATTAGTCAAAGAGGCGGGACGTGAGCTTGATTGATGGCCGCTCCAGCCACTCTGGTAATGGACCCAGTGTTGGAATGATTGAGCGATGTCAGCCGCCTTTTGATGGAGATATCACACTTCCCGACGCCATCACCTCGGTCCACCTCGGCGCATTACGGCCCCTGATTTACGCCGTCGTTTCCAAACTCTCCGCTTCCAAAGTGTCATTTCCGGTGCGAGGCGCTGGGTTTGATGTTGAGGAAATGAGAGAACGAGAGCTTGACTTTTAGACTAATTGAGATCATTAGAAGAAGAGACGAGAGTTCCAGGTAAGAAGTAATTAACCCGGGGACGCGCTCGAGAGGCTGAGCGCGAATCTGAATAACAAAGATAGGACTTTACACGGCAGAGGAATCACACGGAGGACACTATAGGCACAAGACATGTTTAATTGTATAACACAGATCATACTGCTCAACAAAACAACAGAAGAGACATGGCACTACAAAAAACAAATCAGAAATAATCACAGTACATTAAAAAGACTGAGAATATCAAACTGTTTCTGATTATAAATGTCAGAGAAGAAGTCTGTCTCACATTTTCAGGAAGACTTTTTTAGATTATAGCTGCATGAATCTGAAATGCTGCCTCCCCATGTTTAGTTCTGACTCTGAGACCAGCAGGAGGCTAGTCCCTGTGCTCATCAGAGTCCCAGCAGGAGGCCAGTCCCTGTGCTCCTCAGAGTCCCAGCAGGAGGCCAGTCCCTGTGCTTCTCAGAGTCTCAGCAGGAGGCCAGTCCCTGTGCTCCTCAGAGTCCCAGCAGGAGGCCAGTCCCTGTGCTCCTCAGAGTCCCAGCAGGAGGCCAGTCCCTGTGCTCCTCAGAGTCCCAGCAGGAGGCCAGTCCCTGTGCTCCTCAGAGTCCCAGCAGGAGGCCAGTCCCTGTGCTAAGTTGGTCCATATGACAATAACCCAATGTCAATATAGATGTTTATTTCAGGACATGCACGACACAATTCTACCAAACAAACGTAACACACACACATACAAAAACAACACAATATCATACATGGTACAACACACACACACACACACACACACACACACACACACACACACGTTCCAAACACAATACAAACTGAGAGCGTTTACAAAGAATTAGAGAATACCACATTCTCCACCGACTCTAAGTTTAATATGTAAAATCTCACACATCTATAACCTTATATTCACGTTAGGTCTATATCTCTGAGGACACATCATTTAAAATCCTGATTCTTTGTCGTTGTCTCAGACCAGACCGTGCAATCTGGCGCCCTGAAGCGTCCTAACACACCGGTTATCCCCAAATGTCAAGGTCAGAGCGTGACGGCGGAGGTGGGATGTAAATGAGGCGTGAGTAAAATAAGCAGCGGTTTCCTCCTGACCCCAGCTCCATCCTTCAGCCGCTCTCGGGGGACTCCAACCACCGTGTTTAATTACGGCGAGCGGAATGGCGAGCGGAATGGCGAGCGGCTTGGCGAGCGGTTAGCACGGAGTCGCCCAATCAAAAGGCTCAGCAGGAGGCCGCGATGATCCAGATTAGTGTAATGCACAGGCTTTGAAATGGAACGGGCAGCACATGCAAAAGACGGAGAGCTGATTGGACTCAGAAATATGGAGAAAGACAAAGTAAAAGTCTGATTCCCACTTTGAAAAAAACGGGTGTTTATCGACTGAAATCCCTGTTTGGCCTCTTCCTCGCGGACTGGACCACTCAGGCTGGAGGGTTGAAATCATTCGGCATCCAACCCGCCTTGCGACTCCAATATTGCAGTAATTTAGGCCGCTGCTTATGTGTGACTCAGGGAAAACAGGTTATAAAACTTCACCAACTCACATAAGACACAATGCTTTTCATAATGAGAGCGAAACGAGCCGTGGAGCTGGGTTTGGGTGGTAAGAGACAGCATGAGTGGGTGAGGAGCTCGGAGTAGAGCCGCTGCTGCTGCTACTCAATGTCGAGAGGTGTTAGGTGGAGGTTCTGAATAGGTACTCTTAGAATGTCACTTTTTCAGAGCCTCAAATTTTGGACCAGAGGAACAACATGTGTATGAGAGATTATTAGTGAGTGATTATTATTATTATTATTACTATTACAATTATTATTATTATTATCATCATTATTATTAGATTCAGTTTATTTGCCATTTGCAGTAAAACCACATTGGAATACATTAGCAAAAGTCACCAGTGTGGACAGACAAATACAGACATAAAACAACATTAAAAGACAAAAATAAAACAAATAAAACAGTAAACAATTGTCACTGTGAAATCGATCGACTAAAACAGTTTCAAAACAAGTGCAAATCATTAAAGTGCTCTGTTCACACTGATAACAGCTTGTGGATAAAAACGAGATGTCCTGCATCTCAGAGAGCGATATCTTCTGCCAGAGGGAAGAAGCTGGAACATGGCTTTCCCAGGGTGGCCAGAAGAGTCATTAACAATCCTAAGAGCTTTGTTTAAAAGTCTGGATTTATAAAGAACCTCCAGAACAGGAAGCTCACAGCCCACGGTCCTCTTTGCAGAGCGGAGCACCTTGTTTAAAGCTCTTTTCTTTATCTGTGATGTTTCCAAACCACACAGACACAGAACCAACAAGTAAAGTCTCAATGGTGCAGCCATAAAAGTTAAGCAGAATCTTAGAGTTAGTGGTAAATTCTCTAAGTTTACGCAGAAAGTAGAGACGCTGACGAGCTTTCTTAACGACCCGGTCAGTGTTTTTAACCCATTTCAGGTTAGACAGAGTTAAACCCAGAAACTTGCACTCCTCTACGATCTGCACCTGGGAGTTGTCGATTACGACAGGCAAATGAGAACTATTGCGACTGAAGTCGTAGACCAGTTCACATGTTTTCGATGCGTTCAACTGGAGGTTGTTAGTTTGACTCCACTGAACCACATTTTGTATCTCTGCTCTATAAGAGGATTCATCATTGTTACTGATGAGACCGATGATGGTGGTGTCATCAGCATATTTGATGATCAAGTTTGAGTCAGAGGAGGACACACAATCGTGAGTGTACAAAGTAAAAAGCAAAGGACTCAAAATACATCCCTGAGGAGAACCAGTGCTCACAGAAACAACATCAGAAAAACAGTCATTGATTTTCACTCTCTGAGATCTGTCAGTTAAAAAGCTATAGATCCATTTACACATGGCAACACTTAAACCGAGAGACATGAGCTTTTCAATCAGTTTACCTGGGACAAGGCAGTTAAAAGCAGAGCTATAATCGATGAAAAGCATTCTGGCCACAGATTTACTAGTGTCCAAGTGACTGTAGACAGAGTTCAGAGCAAAGGAGATGCATCCTCCACACTCCTGTTCTGTCTGTAGCAAACTGGAGCGGGTCAACACTCACAGGGATCTGGCTCTTAATGAAGTCCAGCACAAGCCGCTCAAAAGTCTTCATAAGAACAGACGTGAGGGCCACAGGACGATAGTCATTCAGGCATGTCACAGGAGTTTTCTTAGGAACTGGGATAATGGTCGACTCTTTAAAGCAGTTCGGCACAGTACAGTTCCTTAGCGACAGGTTGAAAATGTCTGTTAGCACAGGGGCAAGTTGCTCACAGCACAGTTTCAGGACACGAGGAGGGATGCCGTCCGGGCCTGGGGCTTTCCGGACTATGGTCCTGGACAAGACACGCCTGACTTCCTCCTGAGTCACGGTGAAGGTACCTTGATTGAAACACTCAGAAATACACTCAGGAATACAGTAGGACAGGCATCAGCAGATTCAAAGCGACAGTAGAACGTGTTCAGCTCGTTTGGCAGAGCTTGGCCGACAGATGCAGTATTCCCAGCGCTAGGTTTCCACGATGTGATGGCTTTAATACCGTTCCACATGCGCCGAGGGTCATCTTCCTCAAAATAACTCTTTAACCTGTCCCCGTAACTGCGCTTTGCAGATTTAATAGAACGTTTCAATGAGTAACAGGATAGCTTATAAGCAACTGTATCATTTGATTGAAACGCCAACGCACGCTCATGAAGTTTCAGTGTCACTTCCGCGTTCATCCAAGGGTTTTGACTAAAATGTTCTTTAATGACCTTCTGTGGGACACAGCAGTCAATACAGAAGCGTATGTATCCAGACACAGCGTCACAGAATTCATTGACGTCCTCTGACTGAAACACAGACCAGTCCGTAGCATCAAAACAACCTTGTAGCTTCATGCTAGCCTCCTCAGACCAACACTGCACAGTGTGAGAGGTTGGTTTATGTTCCCTGCTCCTCTGAGTGTATGAGGGAAGAAGGAGAACAGAGGAGTGGTCAGACTTTCCAAAAGGAGGTCTGAGACTGGACCTGTAAGCTCCCTTCACGTTACTGTAGCAGTGATCCAGAACATGTGCTCCTCTTGTAGCTTGAGTCACGTTTTGGTAAAAGTTCGGGAGTACAGTCTTTAAATTACATTTATTGAAATCCCCAGCAACAATGATGACTGCGTTAGGATGAGCAGACTCATGTTTGTGAAGGATCTCGCTCAGATCCTGTAGGGCTACTTTGTAATCCGCACGTGGGTGAATGTAAACAGCACATAAAAATATCAATGAAAACTCACGGGGAAGATAAAAAGGGCGGCAGCTCAAGACCAGGCATTCCAGATTGGCAGTACATGTTTGGTTCACGATACGAGTGTCCGTGCACCAGCGCTGATTAATTAAAAAGCACACACCTCCGCCTCTGGCCTTGCCCGTGGTCTCCTTCACTCTGTCCGCACGGTGAGCGGTGAATCCCGGGGGCTGAACAGCAGAGTCCGGGACGTTCGAGTGGAGCCACGTCTCGCTGAGACAGAACACAGCGCAGTCCCGGGCCTCTCGCTGGCTCTGGACCCGACACAGGAGCTCGTCCGTCTTGTTGGGCAGAGACTGGACGTTGGCCAGGTAGATGGAGGGCAAAGGGGTCCTGGAGGAGCGGCTACGAACGAGCAGACCGCCTCGCCTTCCCCGGTGTCTGCGCCTCCTTCGCCGACTCGAGGTGCCCAGCTCCACACCGCAGAGAGAACGCCGGAGACGCCCAGTCCCCTCGCTCTGTTGGCGGCCACCGCCGCGGCCCGCCTGCCGTGCTCCACCAGCCTCTCGAGTGGGACACTCGAGGAAGTTTGTGCACCTCAGTTCAGGTAAAACGAGTGACCCGTCACCCGCGTGATCCCGAATGTGTAGAAGTGTTTGCCGATCATATTTCACTGTGGCAAGTGAATCCCAGACGAAAAACAACAAAACACAGATTTTGCGCACCAGAGCATTCACTGCGGCGCCCTGACACGGCGCCATCTTGCTACTTATACACTTGCTAATATTATTGATATTATTATTATTATTATTATTATTAGCACTATTATCATTATTTGTATTACTATTACAATTATTATTATTATTATTATTACTATTATTATCATCATCATCATCATTATTATTGTTATTATTATTATTATTATTATTATTGTCTGGACATTCTGTTGTCTCTTCATCGTTATGGAAACAAGGATGTAATTGATGCTGCAGTGATTGAAATGTCAGACTCCTTCAGACCAGAGCAGGTCCACAGTTCTTTGACACAGGACCTGAAAGTGCAGAGACCTGGGACGGACTAGGTTGGACTCGGTCAGTGTCTGTCACAGGTTAATGCTAGGACCCAGAGCCTCAGGAGCCTCAAGAGCCCCTCTCTCAGACTTAATAATAATAGTACAATTGTTTGTTTATTCGGTCATGCAAAATATAATTTTTTGACATAAAAAGGCATTAACAAAAGGACAAGGTTACAAAAACACTGTATCTTATGTCAGTAGTGTACATGCTTTAACATAGATTTACAAACACAGTTGTGACCGAAGGGATTAGGCTTAAGTATAACTTATTTTTGCCTAAACCATATTATAATAATACTAATAATGCATTGGTTTTATTTAGCACTTTTCTGGACACTCAAAGACACTTTACATGTCATTATTCATTCTCTCCAAACACGGTGGTGATAAACTACTACTGTAGCCACAGCTGCCCTGGGGCACACTGACAGAGGCGAAGCAACCAGTCTGTGCCATCGGCCCCTCCCACCACCAACCATTCACACACACACCAGACTCATTCTAGGCTATGGGGGTAAAGTGTCTTGCCTAAGGACACAACAGCAGTTTGGAACTTTACAGCCGCAGCCGCCCCACTGTGGCTGCTGTTCCCAGAGGTTAAGTGTCTTGCCAAGGACACAACAACAGCAGACAGTGGGAGTCGGTGGAAAAAGTCGGGCTCGAACCCACGACCCTCTGGCTCAAAGGCCAATGCTCTACCAACTGAGCTACTGTCGCCCCTCCTTCTGTGATGTCTGTATTTATCCTGTAATTTTTCCATGTCATTAACTGTCTCGTTTATATCTATAGTGTTATGCATTAAAGATGACATTATGGTTTAACAACACACCATGATTGTGTTTCTGCTGTGCCTGGTTTCCTGTGTTTTGTTCAGAGGATTTAAAGGGCACTAAAGGCCTCTCTCCGGTCCCGGCTCCTCTCTGTGGTCGCGGCGATGGAAGCGTTGGAGTGTTTTCCTGGTTGAAGCCCGGGGCAGCTCCGGTCAGGCGCCTGTGGAGAGATGCATTCAGGAGGGGACGCGACCACAGCGGGACGCCCCACGACCAGGGCTCCACGCCGGGACAGGGTTAGTTACACTCAGACAGAGACCAGACACGGCACAACATGGAGGATATGATACTGGGTCGCAAACACACACCGCTCTGCGTGACCTGACTGCACCACAGACTCAGCCAACACTGAAAAATGTGTAAAAAACATCAGTTGTGATAGAGTTTTGGAGTTTTTTCTGTAGATTCAGGTCCAAGGACAGAGAGGGTCCAGGACAGAGATGGTCCAGGACAGAGAGGGTCCAAGAACAGAGATGGTCCAGGACAGAGAGGGTCCAGGGACAGAGAGGGTCCAGGACAGAGAGGGTCCAGGGACAGAGAGGGTCCAGGGACAGAGAGGGTCCAGGACAGAGAGGGTCCAGGACAGAGAGGGTCCAGGACAGAGATGGTCCAGGACAGAGAGGGTCCAAGGACAGAGATGGTCCAGGACAGAGAGGGTCCAAGGACAGAGATGGTCCAGGACAGATAGGGTCCAAGGACAGAGATGGTCCAGGACAGAGAGGGTCCAGGACAGAGAGGGTCCAGGACAGAGAGGGTCCAGGGACAGAGAGGGTCCAAGGACAGAGAGGGTCCAGGACAGAGAGGGTCCAGGACAGAGAGGGTCCAGGACAGAGAGGGTCCAGGACAGAGAGGGTCCGGGACAGAGAGGATCCAGGACAGAGAGGGTCCAGGACAGAGAGGGTCCAGGAAAGAGAGGGTCCAGGACAGAGAGGGTCCAAGGACAGAGAGGGTCCAGGACAGAGAGGGTCCAGGACAGAGAGGGTCCAGGACACGCCACATCCACATGTATGTACAGTACTGTAGTGGTCTCTGCTCCTTATGGACTAATATTGACCCCCTCCCACCTGTGTTTTCTGTCGCAGCAGAGCAGGGCGTGGCAGGGGCGTGGCTGACTTCTCCTGGTGCTGAGTCTCAACACCTGCCCTTCATTACTATCAAGACCAGTGTGAATACCAGGATTTCTCAGCACCACACTGCCAGATTATTCCATCGGCTGGTTTTGGAAGTCGAAGTTACTTATCTGGATACTTACCTTTTTTTCCCAAATATACAAGAGAACGCCTCACAGATTCTCTCCCAAAATGTTTGGATCTTGGAACAATGCCAAAACATGTGAATTAAAGTGGCCTCGGATGATTTCCATCTGTCACAGGTTGGGTGCAGGTACATCTTTGCCCATTTTGATTTGCTGAGATGTACTCTATGCACAAAGGAAGGTTTCTCACCCATCATCTGTACTTCTTAGCAAGTTTTCCCGACGTTTCGTCCTCAAACCAGCGGACTTCTTCAGCTTCCCTGAAGAAGTCCGCTAGTTTGAGGACGAAACGTCGGGAAAACTTGCTAAGAAGTACAGATGATGGGTGAGAAACCTTCCTTTGCTTTGACTAATCCCTGTACGACTGAGGGCTTACACAAACTCTATGCACAATTGAACTGTATAAGCGAGTGTCTTGCAAACATGGAGGACGAGTTGACCTTCACAAAGATATTTTCCCAGTCTGATTCAGTGAAGGAAGTCTGACGGCCCTGTTCTCGGGACCGCTTGATACTGTCCCAGTCATGGAAGAGAAGCCCAGACTTGTGATTAAAGAAAGCATTGCAGAAATGGCTTCTTTCTTTACATGATTGGAACACATATTATCATCAATGACATTATTAGAGGGCTTGTTAGGGAACCCTGGAATAGAAGCCGAAAGAAAATGACGAATCTGAAGTACCTGAAGAAATGAGATGCAGGTAAATTATATCTATTAGCCAATTGTTCAAAGGAAGCAAATGTATTTTCAATCGTTCAAAAGCCCACGTCTCTTTCAGCCATGAAATGTAGCATCATGCATGGAACTGCATGAAAACTGAAAACAGAATCCTGAACATCAGCGGTGAGTGACCCAAAACCATAAATCCGGTATCTACTTCCGGGTTTTTCGGGATCGCCTTTTCTCGCATTACATCAGTATTTTTGTCATGAAAACGTAAACGGAAAATTCTGAAAACTTCCGTGCACTTTTATTAATAATGTATATGTATAAAGTATTCTCCGATTAACATTTCATTGCGTTGATTGATTGGCATTTGAGTTATCCACGCATCTGAAATACAAGCAGAGAGTGCGTTGCCAAAGGGCAGCGGTCATTATTGTTTTGAGAGGTCCGTTATAGAAAATAATGACCGGTAGAATGTTTTGAAATTACATTCAAATAAATGGAGCGTTCTACTGCTGCTGTGAGGAGCGTGTGATAAATCAATAATAATAACTCTCACAGGAGTCAAGAATAAAGTTTAGAAAGTATATTTATCAACTCAGATATAACATTACAGGAGGAACATTGACAATTGCACAACACTGTCTGATTCTGTTTGGCTCCACTGTTATAACCTCTCGGCCAATCTCCATATATGGACTTCTAACCGGTGGCCAGACAACTGATATTTACTGGACTTGTAGATAATCAGTTTGTCCTGTTCAGCTTGACATTGTAGATTATCATGACCCAAAAACAAGAACATCAAACCTTATTCAAACTTTCCACAACATAACTATCTATTAATCATTAAATATTCTCGTTCATGTCATCACATTTTCACCAATTCCCGCCCCTAGCTTCCAATAAACACAGCTGGCAGTTGAATCGTTCTTCTCTCTCCCTGGTGCCTTTCTCAGAGTCTTATTGAAAAGTCCCGGTCGATCTATAACCGGCGCCGGGTGCTCAGATGTGCAGCCGCTGGACACGGGGCACACGGCGCCTCAGGCCCCGAGGACAGACACTCAGATAAGACCGCACCGCATTGATCCACGATAAGCATCTCCTCTCCACGCCGCGGCCAGATGACCATCCAGCCGAGCATCCAGCCGAGCATCCATCCACCCAGGCCTCTCCTCTCTGCTGCCCACGGCCCAGACCTGATCCTGGGCTCAGATCCCGGTGCAGATGTGTCGCTGATGGCTCGGTGGATTTGAATGGCTGAGTGGAGACGGTACAGTGGATGTGGGCAGTGGAGCCTGGAAAACAGTGCAAATGTCAGGGGACTACACTGCTGCAGCTGAGAGTTTGGAGCAAATAAATGTGCTCTGGACCGGTCTCTGGTTTGTGGTCCAGGGTTATAGAGCCGTGTGAAGTTTGGGAACACGTGCATTTTGACCCGTTTCATTAAAAAGACAGCGTTAACAATGGGAAGTTTTGGTTGATTTTTATTGATCCAGCCATTTCTGTTGTTTCATCAGGGGCCTCATTGAAGAAACATAGTTGGAAAGCACGATGGCTGAGTGGTTAGCACTTCTCAGCCTGGGAGCAGCCTCAGTCCCCCGCTCGGCCTCGGTCCTTGTTTTACAGTCTGAATCCTGGAGCCTCACACTCTGTCGTGGATCCCTCTGGGCCACTTTTCCCACTGGCTCATTGTGAGTTGACATTAATTTATTAACATTTATGGACATAGGTACAGTGCTCCCTATGAACCAATCAATGTGATTGTCACCCATGTCTCTCTGTGTATATATGTACCTGTGTTTCTCTCTGTAACTCTGTCTCTGTCTCTCTATGTACCTAGGTACATAATAGACACAGAGAGAGACCAGAGAGACCAGAGAGAGACTAGAGAGAGACCAGAGAGAGACTAGAGAGAGACTAGAGAGGCCAGAGAGAGACTAGAGAGAGACCAGAGAGAGACTAGAGAGAGACTAGAGAGGCCAGAGAGAGGCCAGAGAGAGACCAGAGAGAGACTAGAGAGAGACTAGAGAGGCCAGAGAGAGGCCAGAGAGAGACCAGAGAGAGACTAGAGAGAGACTAGAGAGGCCAGAGAGAGACCAGGGAGAGAGACAGCGTTTAACTTTCTAAGGTCACATGACAATAATGCCCCACACTGTCTTCCTGAAAAGTGTTTTGGTCTCGTGACGGTCTCTCAGCGATCCAAACCTCGGTGTGTTTTTGAGCACAGCTTTGACGAGACCAGAGCTGACCTTTCCACTCGTCTGATCGGGGAAAGTCCAGCACTTATTCCTCGCCGCTCGGTGACAGCGGGCTCGCTAAAGGTCGACCGCAAGAGATTGTAGGATTTGACCCTTGAAATTGCTGTGTTTTTATCCAGTTGTTTTAGAGCAAAGGAAAAGACAGCACTGAAAAAGAATACATTTAAAGCTGGGATCTGTAACCCTGGTCTCACCCTGGTCTCTCTCTCTCTCTCTCTCTCACTGGCCTCTCTCTGGTCTCTCTCTCTGGTCTCTCTCTGGTCTTTCTCTGGTCTCTCTCTGGTCTTTCTCTGGTCTCTCTCTGGTCTCTCTCTGGTCTTTCTCTGGTATCTCTCTGGTCTCTCTCTGGTCTCTCTCTGGTCTCTCTCTGGTCTCTCTCTGGTCACTCTCTGGTCTCTCTCTGGTCTTTCTCTGGTCTTTCTCTGGTCTCTCTCTGGTCTCTCTCTGGTCTCTCTCTGGTCTCTCTCTGGTCTTTCTCTGGTCTCTCTCTGGTCTCTCTCTCTCTGGTCTTTCTCTGGCCTCTCTCTGGTTTCTCTCTCTGGTCTCTCTTTGGTCTCTTTCTGGTGTCTCTCTGGTCTCTCTTTGGTCTCTCTCTGGCCTCTCTCTGGTCTCTCTCTGGTCTCTCTCTCTGGTCTTTCTCTGGTCTCTCTCTGGTCTCTCTCTGGTCTCTCTCTGGTCACTCTCTGGTCTCTCTCTGGTCTCTCTCTGGTCTCTCTCTGGTCTCTCTGGTCTCTCTGGTCTCTCTGGTCTTTCTCTGGTCTCTCTCTGGTCTCCCATCACATTGGAACGGGGGATTTTAAACCTCCATCTTTGTCAACACTGAAGGACACGGAGCAGTGTGTGTCCAGGTTTGTGCAGCTCTTTGTGCAGCTCTTTGTGCAGCTCTTTGTGAGTCGTTGGATGCTGAATTATAAAACATGTGGTTTAGAACATGCTTTATTCATGAATTAATTATGTTTGTACATGTTTCCTGTGTTTCAAGGTCTATCGGACTAAAGCAAGTTTAATTTGGGTCTTAACATGGACTAAAGCAGGTCTACAGTAAGTAAGTAAGTAATGTTTATTTATAAAGAGCTGTTAAGAAACTGTATGTTTTATTAGCATATTAATGAATGTGACTATTCAAGTTTAGATGACTTTGGGGTGACCTACATCCGAGTGTGTGAAGTCTACAACTGAGGTGTTGAAACCAAGTGAATTATTATCCACAGTGTCTTTTGTGCAACAATGTGGCAAGAAGTTGTCCAACAAGTGGTTAATGTGTAACTTCACCTCGTTTTGGGCTTTTCCACGTGTGAAGGTGTGTTATCTGCTGTGAAATAAAAACGCTGCCTGCAGAGCAAACGGGTCAGGACTTGGTTTTGGGCTGCAGAGGACGCAGATGCCTCCTCGCCGCCATAAAACCATCTCCTCCTCGTTGCATGCAAGTATAAAACTATTACCTTGTTTGTTGTGTGCTTTTGTCCAGGTACTGTAGTTTAGAACTAGCTTTAACAATAGTGCATTTTACAGACCAAGGTACAGACTCAAAGCACTTTCCAATGTTCAGAGTCAGATATTGTTCCAATCCTTCCACACACGGTGATGACAGAAGCGAGTCCAGAGCACACTGGACCATCAGCTCCAACACCATCATTCACTCTCTCATTTACATTCAGACCTATTGTGCATGTTTTTAGTGGTAGGGGAAACCGGAGCACCCGGAGGAAACCTACACAGACACGGGGAGAACATGCAAACTCCACTCAGAAAGGCCCTGTTCCGACCTGGATCCAGGACAGAGACTGTAGACCCAGGACTGAGGCTGTAGATCCAGGACTGAGGCTGTAGACCCAGGACTGAGGCTGCAGACCCAGGACTGAGGCTGTAGACCCAGGACCGAGGCTGCAGACCCAGGACTGAGGCTGCAGACCCAGGACTGAGGCTGTAGACCCAGGACTGAGACTAATCTAAAGACATCTATAACAGTTTTACACCAGAGTTCTTCATCAAAACAACATAATAAAACCACCCAAACCTGCTTCCATCGCCTCCGCACAATCTCAAAGATTAAAAACATTCTCACTCCTCCCAATCTCCATAAAGTTGTCAACGCCCTCATCTTCTCCCGCCTCGACTACTGCAACTCCCTCCTCTCCAATCTCGACGCTAAATCCCTCTCCCGCCTCCAACTGGTCCAGACGCAGCAGCCAGACTTCTCACTGGTTTTAACAGAAGGGAGCACATCACCCCTGTCTTAGCGTCCCCCCACTGGCTCCCTGTGCGTTTTAGAATTGATTTTAAGATTTTACTGATTACTTTTAAAGCTCGTTTAGGTCTGGCACCAAGCTATATTTCTGAACTTTTAACCCCCTACGAGCCCCCCCGCAGCCTTAGATCCTCGGGCAGGTCCCTGTTGACTGTTCCAAGGTCGAGGCTCCGGACGAAAGGTGACCGAGCCTTCTCTGTCCGGGCTCCTCGGCTTTGGAACCACCTGCCCGAGGAGATAAGGCACCATCAGTATCCTCTTTTAAATCTCTTCTTAAAACCCACTTTTATCAAACAGCTTTTAACTGTTAGTTTTAAACTTCCAATGCTGTATTTTAATGTCTGCATTGTCTTTGTTGTGTCTCTTTTGTGTTTTGCTCTGTTTGCTTTGTGTTTCTGTATCTAATTATTTTGACCTTGTATTATGACTGTTTTTATTGTTTATCGTGCAGCGCTTTGTAAACATTGTTTTTAAAAGTGCTATACAAGATTATTTCTCACAGAGTCTAATGTTATCAGATCCGCGACAGAAAACAACCGGCCTGTTGTCTCCGGTGCAGAACATGAGAGAGTACACTGAGTACACACCAGGACTCTCCGGTCTGAGGGTGAACCAGGACTCTCCGGTCTGAGGGTGAACCAGGACTCTCCGCTCTGAGGGTGAACCAGGACTCTCCGGTCTGAGGGTGAACCAGGACTCTCCGGTCTGAGGGTGGACCAGGACGCTCCGGTCTGAGGGTGAACCAGGACGCTCCGGTCTGAGGGTGAACCAGGACGCTCCGGTCTGAGGGTGAACCAGGACGCTCCAGTCTGAGGGTGAACCAGGACTCTCCGGTCTAAGGGTGAACCAGGACTCTCCGGTCTGAGGGTGAACCAGGACTCTCCGGTCTGAGGGTGAACCAGGACTCTCCGGTCTGAGGGTGGACCAGGACGCTCCGGTCTGAGGGTGAACCAGGACGCTCCGGTCTGAGGGTGAACCAGGACGCTCCGGTCTGAGGGTGAACCAGGACGCTCCGGTCTGAGGGTGAACCAGGACTCTCCGGTCTGAGGGTGAACCAGGACTCTCCGGTCTGAGGGTGAACCGACTCTCCGGTCTGAGGGTGAACCAGGACTCTCCGGTCTGAGGGTGAACCAGGACGCTCCGGTCTGAGGGTGAACCAGGACTCTCCGGTCTGAGGGTGAACCAGGACGCTCCGGTCTGAGGGTGAACCAGGACGCTCCGGTCTGAGGGTGAACCAGGACTCTCCGCTCTGAGGGTGAACCAGGACTCTCCGGTCTGAGGGTGAACCAGGACTCTCCGGTCTGAGGGTGAACCAGGACTCTCCGGTCTGAGGGTGGACCAGGACGCTCCGGTCTGCGGGTGAACCAGGACTCTCCGGTCTGAGGGTGAACCAGGACTCTTTACTTTAGTGACGTGGCACAGGATTCACAGAGAACAGCTTTGCGGAGGTTTGAAAAAGGTCGGCGTGTGTGTGAATGTGTGTGTGTGAGTGTCTGTCTGTGTGTGTGTGTGTGTGTGTGTGTGTCTGTGTGTGTGTGCACTTGTTTTCAACTCCTGGTGGGTTCCATAACCTGAGATTCCACTCACGTCATGGGGACTGGTTTTACGTGGTGGGGCCCGAACACCGGACCCCACTGGTCCAAGCTTAATAATCAATGGGTAATGCTTTTCTAACAGTCCTTATGCAGTCTCTGTAAAAATATGGAAAGGACCCCTGGAGGTTTACTTTCCTGAAAAAAGTGTGTTATGTGTCGGAACCCTGGTGGTGGGTTGCGGAATATCAAGGAGGGGCACACTGGGGCAATTTCAGTCCAGCAGGCTGGAGCCAATCATGGAGCAGCACAACAGAGGAAATCAGGTGTCAGGCTAGAAAAAGGTGCAAGTGTGTGGTTCATTAGGCTGCAAGAAATCATGGAGGAGCACACTGAAGCGCACGCTTACAAACCACTGGTAAGTGCTGACTACAAGTCATGACTTCAAATTGTTATATAGAATTATTACAAATTATTTGTTGTTTGTGCAGCTTAGTCAAGAGTCCCTAATTGATGAAGTCGACTCAGATTCTGACGATTTAACTCTCAAGAATAAACCTGTAAAAAAGTATGGAAAAAGAAAAATCAAAAACACTTTTCTTCAAGCCTCGGAAAGTGACGAACCAAAGGCAAATAAGATTGTTATCATGCAGCTGCAAAAGAAGACAAATGGGGGGAGAGTTTACAGCAAGAGACACTTCTGCCTCTACTGTTCAATGTCCTGCCACAAAATGTCCCGTCATTTGACTAGAAAACATGGAAATGAAAGTGACGTAGCCAGAGCATTGGCTCTACCTGTGAAGTCTAAAGCACGTAAACTTCACTTTGATTTGATCAGGAATAGTGGAAACCGTGAACACAATGTTGAGGTTTTAAAGGCCGGCATTGGAACTTTAGTCCCAGCTAAACAGCCAAATTGCCCAGTTAAATCCAGTGAGTTTTTGCACTGTATAGACTGTGGGGCATTGCTTAAGCGAAAGTCGCTGTGGAGGCATGTGGCCAGGTGCCGGCTTTCACAGAAAGATGCCCAGGCTAAACCAGGCTAAACCAGGTAGAAGTAGGGTCCAGTCCCTCTGCTCCCTAGCCCAGCCTGTACCGGAGGGCATCAGCAAAAAGCTGTGGTCTTTAATTTCGGCAATGCATCAGGATGAGGTCACGAGTGTTGTCAAAGCAGAAAAGGGGATTCTGAGACTCGGAGAGCACCTGTACTTAAAACACGGGCATGATAAGACTAAGCATGATTACATTAGGCAGAAAATGAGAGAAGTCGGTAGGTTAATTAACGAAGCAAAAACCGCAGGGAAACTGAAAACAATTAAGGATTTCTTTATTCCTTCCAACTTTAACCATGTGATTGATGCAGTCAGGTCTGTGGCTGGATATGATGAGGAAACAAATCAATACAAGACTCCATCCTTGGCCCTCAAACTCGGCCATAGCCTCAGAAAGCTAGCAGATATTCTTGAATGTGACTCAAAAATGGAGCAATGTGTTGATAAACTATTTATTAAAAACCTCCAACGAAGCCGGCTGCTTTTTGAGAAGAGGTGGGACGTCTGTGTTTCTTCTGCTGCCCTACAGACCCTCCGGCAAGCCAAGTGGAACACTCCGGACCTGCTCCCTCTGACTGAGGACATTAGAGCCATGCATGCACATATTGAGGTATGTCGACCTGAATATGTGCAAACCCTAATAAGTGAGCCAACGTCTAAGCATTGGTCTAAACTGGCAGTTTTGACTCTTTGTGAGGTCATTATTTTCAATCGAAGAAGGGAAGGTGAGGTTTCAAAGATGCCACTGACAGCCTTTACCTTAAGAAGTAAGACTGGGATCCATTCTGACATTGCTCTGGGACTGTCCCAACTTGAGAAAAAGCTGTGTCAGCATTTTCAACGCATTGAAATTAAAGGGAAAAGAAGTCGGAAAGTGCCGGTTCTTTTGACTCCTGAAATGATTGCTTCGATGGAGGTGCTGGTGGAGAACAGAAGGGCCTGTTCCATCTCTGACCATAACCCATACTTCTTTTCCCGCCCGGGCGCAGACACCCACATCAGGGGATCAGACTCCCTACGCCAGGTAGCCAAAGAATGTGGTGCGGTGCATCCAGAGATGCTATCCTCAACCAAACTTAGAAAGCACATAGCTACTATGTCTACAGTTCTCAATATGAAAGAGAATGAGATGGACATACTTGCCAACTTCCTCGGCCATGACATTCGCATCCACAGGCAATATTACAGACTACCAGAGGGGACACTGGAGCTGGCCAAAATCAGCAAAGTGTTGATGGCCATGGAGCAGGGAAGAGTGACGGAATTCGAAGGAAAGAGCCTCGACCAGATACAAATTGAGCCTGAAGGTAATTCTTGATATTATTAAAATATGTATGATTTTTTTCCCCTAAAGGCCACTTGTATTTTTATTTTCTGTGCGACAGGGAGAGCAGTAGAGATCCTCTCACAAACGGACGGGCTAAAAGAAACTTCAAGCGGAGAACCTTCAACCATTCATCCAGGTGCACCCCATGGTAGTGGTAGTGCCCCTTCTGGTAAGTGTACCAGGTGGGGGATTACAGCCAGGCTGCTTGGTCCTAACCCTGGGAGTGTATATTGCTAATATATTTTTATTTCTCTCCCTAGAACGTGTAAGAAAGCCATGGTCTGCATCTGAGGTGAATGGAGAAGACCATGACACCTTTCATACAGACTGGAAAAGTCCCTGGGAAGTCTCACTGCCTGGCCTGGCCTGGCCTGGCCTGGCCTGCATTAATGCCTCACCAGATGACCTTAGACATCGGACATGGAGTGGCATTAAATTCTATGTCAAAAATAGAATCACTGCAATTCGAAAAAAAAATCTAAAATAAAATTCCTTTAAAAGAGTTGTTTGGTTTCTATTGACTGTTTTGTATTACTTAAAGTGGTCCCAGTAAACCCATACTTAAAGTGGACCCATAGACCCATGTCTATGGGTCCCATTCTGAACGGCCTTGTCAAAGGGACCCACCAGGTAACAAAAACGTGTATCTCTGTGTGTGTGTGTGTGTGTGTGTGTGTGTGTGTGTGTGTGAGGAGCCAGTGCATTTGAATGGCTGAAATGTATTTATTTTGTATATTCGAAGTGGTTCCTTTGTTATTGATGTAAACATGAAATCAGGAAAGTTAAACTTATGGTTTTCTTCAGTAAAATGACCATGGAGGGTCTGAACAGTGGCACAAATCTTTAAAAGCCTTTTTCACAAATGACAAAAGAGGTTAAATGACACCTTCATGTTTCAGCCTCGGGCGTTCTTCACAGACATTACAACATTCCTAGTTAATTATCTATTTATTTAGTAATTAATGACCTAATACCATGTGTACTGTTGTGATTTAGGACCATACAAGAATAAATTGAATTGAATCTTCTCGGAGAATATCTGTTTAACTGAGTTTTTTTAAATGTCAGTCCCAGGACCGCGTTAAATGTTTTAACAATTCAACGTTTACTGATATTTTAAATGGTCTCTTCTCTGTTTTTTTGCCGTTTGACCTTAATATAGCGGAAAAATCTTCAAAATGGCTATTTTATAATTTACCGCAATATTATCGTTTATCGCGCTAAATTTTGGGACGATTGTCAAGGAAAGTGTGTTTTTGTGACGGCTGTAGTTACCAGTGATCGATGAACCAGGAATAAACGAGACCCAAATATAAATGAATCTCGAGCGAAACCAAGACTCAAACTGATGAATATTTAACAGTTTTCCAAAGTTGTGGGTTTGAATCCCTGCTTCCCGAGTTAGATTAGTCACTATCTCTAAAGATGGCCGCGACAGCCTGATGGCCGTGACAGCCTGATGGCCGCGACAGCCTGAACGCCTCGCTAAGACCTCTGGCTACTTCACTATTTTGAGCTGTTGAACATTGTTTAAGGCCGAGCTTTGTACTGCTAGTGACAGACCAAAATTATTGCTTTGCAATTTCATTACTTCATTCACTTAAGTCCTGCACTGAAGTTGGGCGCAGAATTGTTTTCTGTGCGCCATGGCAGATATCTCTCTTCAATCCATTTGGGACGCAATAAATCAACTGAAAGATCAAGTCACTGGTGAAGTAAATGCTCATCTTGACATGAAAATGGGTATAGTGCAAGCAGGCTCAATGGATATACAAAAGACATTGGGTTCAATCACAGGACAAATCACGGAATTGCAAGAGCGGGTGAGCGTAAATGAGGACAACGTTGGGGACCTGGGGGCGCGAGTGAGCGCTTTGGAGAAAGACAACGCTTACCTGAAGGAGAAGGTGGATGATCTGGAGAACAGAAGCAGAAGATCGAACCTTCGTTTCATTAATGTTCCGGAAAGGAGTGAGGGGAGAGACATGATCGCTTTTATGAATGTACTGATTCCCACGCTCCTAGGAAAGGAACACTTCCCCGTGCCACCTGTGGGGGAGAGGGCGCACCGTTCCCAAACATTCACAAACTCATCCCAGCCACAAACACGTCCCCGACCGATTCTTGTTAAGCTCTTAAACTTCCAAAGTCAAAATCCTCTAAAGTCAAAATCATGCGGCTGGCCAGAGAAAAGGGGAGTCTCCAGTTCAATGCAGGAAAAGTGCTCATATACCCGGATTTCAGTCCCGGAATTGTCCAGAAGCGGCGTGAATTCGATGAGATCAAAAAGAAGCTCCGTGCCGAAAACTTGAAATACTCCTTGCTTTATCCCAGCACGCTAAGGGTTTTGGTGGAAGGGAAACCAAAGATGTTTCGCTGTTCCAAAGACGCAGAGGAATTCTTCCGTGGTGCCTCCGCTGGACCAGCGACGTAAGTAGACCACCTACGGCGTCTAAACTTTACCTGCG